AGGTCGAGCTGTTGTTCACCATCTTAGCTGTAGAGGGCGCAGTGTCACTGGCCCTCATGTGGGATCCGAACCAGGGCCCTGCTGCTCAGAGCTGGCATCCCAAGCCAACTCTTAACCAACGCGCCACTTGACCAGCCCGAGCTACTTTTATGGGGTTCAATATTAAGTTTAAAGTATGTATCAGAGATGCTAAACGTGTTTTATGTTTAGAAACAAAGGGTGTCTTTTTCCTTTCAGTGAATGGAGGAAGATCACATTGATTCTTGATTAGATGGTAGATTTCAAAGTGCTGAAAATCTACACACCCAAGAACACGCCTAATTTTAAAAAATTATACCATTCTATATAGGCAATGGGGTATCTCTGACAGTAAAGGCGTAAATTAAAGATTGATAACGAAAAGAAACAGAAGTAAAATATGATTCTTAGTCTCTTGCTTCCAATCTCTCATTGCTTTGAGGTTTCTGTCTAAACCCCTTCGGCTGCCCCACCCAGACTCTTGGCACGTCTTCTCTCCTGCTTGCCTCACCCTCTTCTCCCCATCGTCAGTGCAGCCATGAGTAGGAAGCTGCTGTTCTGTCAGGAACAACTGCTCCCCAGCCTTCTGCCTCATCATCTTTTAATGCTTCGCCTGGATAGCATAACTGTCTTGCACCCTGACACTGAATCACCAAATCTGGGCTTTAGTTACTCTGTGCATGCTTGCATGGCATGCTGCTCACATCACACACACAGCATTATAACTCTATTCATACAACATATGTGAGCACATATATGGTGATTATAAAAACTTGTCTGCCTCCTTCACCAGATTTGAGAGAAACTTGAGGGCACCTTAGGTAATAACATTTCTTTTATCTTTATACTCCTTGCATGGATATGATGGTTGGCACAGAGGAAGCACTCAACTATGGGCCAAATGAATGAGTCAATGGACTAAATTCCTTGTTGACTGTATCCTAGGTTGTTTGTGTCTCATCTAGCCCATGACTTTTAAGTTCTATTCATTTACAGTTGAGCTATTAATAAACTTGTGGGGTTCTCTGAGAAATTCTTCTCTGGAGAGACTGACAGGACACTGAAGACATTTAAAAATATGTTTATTCAAAGGCACTTGCTTCTCCCCTTCCTTGCCCTACTTTTTTCTTTTTCACATGCACTCTTGGTTTTAGCTCAATGCTTTTTCAGATTTTGATGTGCCTTTATATATGTGTTATACCTATAAACTATAGTATATATATATATACTATATGTGTAATATTATATATAATATGCAATACGATGTATATTATATATGTAATGTTATATATTATATATATCTAGTGGTATATTATATATATATATATAAGGCTTGGAAAAAGATAATCTGCATAAGAAAAAATTAAGTAGGTTGGTAAAATAAAGTAAAATTAAGTAGTACATTAAATCATGTTTAATCAGGTATTAGCTACAATTCTCAACCTATCCCCTGAAAAGTATTAGCATTCTATTGCTTACTGGGGTAGAACTTCCGTGCCGAGTCTGGTGGCTGGTAGAGAGTCCCAGTGTCCTGGTACCAGAGTTGACCACGTGAAGTTCTCTCTAAGGAGAAGTGAAGTCTAAATTGGTGGACCCATGTCATTTGAATACCTGCCACTTTTAACCTATGAGCCAATGCATCTTTTTCTAT